ACAGGAAATAACTGACATCATCTAATTTGTGCACACTTAAAAAAAATAAAAAATAGTATGTACACTGTCTCCCTAAGACCTCACCTTATTTCTATATTTACAAACATATTTCTTACTTCTATTTTTTATTTCATGAGATTCAAACTCCAAGAAACTTTAGAACTGCATTATTCCCCATCTGAACTTACTTCCCAGTGACGCTTTTTCTCTTGTAGAACAAATAAAACCGATTGCCCTTGCCAAGCCTGGCGGCTTGCAACTACATATTTTAATGCTTCACAAGAAGCCTAGGCAAGCCGATTGCTCCCCCGATTCTCACATCTTTCCCCACTGTGGCCCACACCTCTGCTGACTGCAGTGATCTGAACTGAGTACTCATAAAGGCCACTCTGCTCTCTCTGCCTCTAATAACCTGGTATAACAATTGTGGTGAGTAATTTCCTTACCACTTCTGTTGTTAACAAATGCTAATAATACTGCACGATACTGATCAAGCCCAGCTACTGAAAAAGAAACTACACAAATTATTTTTTAAAGTTATCATCAAAAGAAATGCTTTTCTGCAGGAAATTTTTTTAACTGCTCAAGGCGTTTGCCTAGCCCTGCTTAAGTGACCGCTTCTTTGTTAATTAACAAGTGCATCTGCTTCACCAATGAAAACGGTTCGTCTTATCTAGGGTACACTTGCAGGCTTTTTTGGGTGGATGTAACTGTAAGGAATTCACCGTCATCATTTTCTAGAACCAGGGTCACCTATTTTCATGATGCCTGGGTTAATGGGCTGTGGGCGGTCTCCTCTTATTCTGATGCTCACCAAAACTTACCCTATCTGCAAAAATTGGGATTGAGCTGGTGATTTCTTTCCTGCTATATCTAATTATATTTCTTGTACATGCCAATAATCAATTAATCAATTACATCCAAGCAATTGTTTATGCACCAAATATTTAGTAAGGAGCTTTCCATGGCAGGCATTGTGCCAGGCCACGGAAAGACAGCAGTGATCAAGACGTCGGAAGAGATCCTTGCATTACACTGTGACAGGAGGCAGTTATCTGAGGTTCTCCTGCCTAAAATAAAGTGAAAAAAAATGACCAAGTAATGTAACCCAACACTGTCACGATGAATTCTAGTGCAAAACCTAACAAAGGAGTGCCAACAGAATGTTAAGTAGCTGAGCTCTTGCTCCATAATAATGTCTCCAATTAATTTTCTCCGATAGATGAATTCAAAAGTAACTAAAGTCATGACTTCCATATCTTATTAGTGTTTTCCACTAATGTGTATTTTACAAGCCTTTCTCCAACTGTATGTAAGTCTAGGTTATTTTTACTGAAGCTTCAATCATAGTATGATGCTAAGTGCTTGCTCATGGTTTTAATTACTATGAAGATCTCAATGACAAAAATCATTTTATGAGCAAAGGCTACCCTTCTATCTCTTGCTCATCGTATAAAATTCATGATATTCACATGGGTTACCAGCAGTAAGTAGGCTATGGGAATTATGGAAAGAAAACTCCATGTAACTGAAAAATCACCTCAAATGCATATTGGTCTCATCATGATTTCTGTCATCTTCACACATAAAGGCCAGCATGCTTTCATTTTCTCAAGCATGTGTGTAATTATGGTTTGGTTTGTGTCTTGACAGAGTAGTGACCTGATAGCATCTAGAGAAATACCAAACACACACACGCTCAATAAGTGTTTTCTAATGATGTAATGCTTCCTATTTATTGTTTTAATGGCAAGTCAGTTTATCTTTCAGATTGGCATATTTTTATGGTAAACGCTGAATAATGAATTTAAGAATCCTCAACTTAGAGTTTAAAAAATTCCTTGAAAGCAATTTTGTCACATTACCTCCTAATTTTCAGAATGCTATTTAATCTGCCAGTGACTAAGCTGTAGGAAAAATCTTTTTTGTTGTTAGGTAAAGGAAAATGTGGGTGGAGAGAATGAGGTCTGGTTTGTATCCACCTCATAATTTGGACTGTCTATGATAGAGGAAAAAGGAAATCTCAGCCCTCCCCAGGTAGGGATATGAGGTTGCTTAGAATTCCATTTTTGGGGAAGTCCGTTAGCCAGGTTATGTAAATTCTCAAGTAACAAATTGACTCAGCATGTTCCTAAGCCGCAGACCTCTTAGGTGATGCATGCTAAACGTCATTTGCCTATTTGCTCTCACTAGGTGACAGGGAAACCATGTATTTTCCCCACCTCATACACACACAAAGCGGAAATACACTAAGCTCCCCTGTTGGTCTTGTTCTTATTCACCTTTCTTGCAATTAAGACATTCTGCACCTGACCTTAGCAATTAATTTAACTTTTCTTCCTCTCCCCTCCACCATGGTATTCCAGTGAGCTTAAACAGTTATAGATAATCTTCTTTTGCCAAAAGTGTTTTTCCTATATTTTGTGTAGTTAGGAAAATTGTTTCACATGTTATAAATCTATTTAGAAACTGCTGGGATTGTCAAAGCTCTAACCAGCACATTCCCCAAAGCTTACTTTCTATTTTGCAAGTAAATTTAACATCAGCGATGGCAGCCACTACTATCACTTTTTTTATCGTAAAGTATGGTCCACAAGGCAGCTTTTTCTCAATTTCTGAAAAAGGAAGAAACTAACATTTAATGAGTTAATCCCTGCTATTTGCAAGAAACAGGTTTAATGAACTTACAGATATCATTTAAAGTCAAAGTTTCTTGCTTTTTCTTTAAAGACTGATAATTTTTACGGTGATAATTTTTACTGTGAGTTAGAGAGAGCAGAGTTGATAGAAAACATACAAAGATGTAAGTCTTAGGTTTCCCATTCCCAACAAGGTGCACTTCATTGTATATGATGCCAGTGATTTACTGCCACCCTCACCACAGTTCCTGTATTAATCATGTCCATTCCTAACACTGACAGAAATCATCCTAGGCCACTGTATCACCTTGCAGGAATCTTGGTGTCTTAGCAGTAGCTATCCCATCACCATTTATAAGAGTGACCAAGGGCAGGTTTCCTCATCTGTCTGTGTCTCTGGTTTTTCATCTCTAAAGTGGATGACAACAGTAGCTACCTCACAAATGTGAGGATTAGGTTTATGGTACTTCATTGAATCTACATTGCCACTGATTGTAAGAGGCAGTTGGTTTCAGAGATATTAATAAATAATGTCCATGATTTGATGACATATAGTAATAGATGAAAGATATCTAAGAACAAAATTAAAAATAATGCCTGGCACAATAGGATGTGTCCACTGATAGTGTCAACTGAGATTATCTATTAGCAACCCATGGGCCATAGGGTAAAAGTGGGTTTGCCAAGCCTCCTGTGGGCATGATATGGCTTTTTCATCTGAGGAAGAACATCTGGAGCACATCTTTGTTGAGTTTGCCTGGGCAGGTCATGCCACTGTTCTGGGCCTCTGTAAATAGGGGGCTAGAATAGTCACCTTAATATTTTTTTTCCTAGCAGGTAAACATATTTTTCCAAATGAAATGTTACATAGGACCCAAAGTGTAAAACAGATAAAAGGATTTGTTCCAGTTAAAGCAGGGCTGGAGGAGCACCAAGTTCTGCCCTTCGTCTTTCCTCCTCTTTACCTGCAGGTAAATCCCACCAGGCAGTTTGTTCACGGCAGTCATCTCACTTTGTTGTCATAGTAAGATGATGAGTCTCCCAACACTTCTACGGGTGTTTGTTATTAATTACTCCAAACTTTGTCATATTTCACCTAGGGCTGAATCATTTAGTACTTAATATGTGCACTGCACAGACACACTTTCTATTATACTTTTCTTGCTTTCCTCCACTTTGGTCTCCAAACTCCTTCCAATCTATCTCACATTACTGAGATTATTTTCATCTCAATAAGGATACCTCATGAGCCTTCCCAGATGTAGTGTAATGTTCGCAGAAGACACAACATGAAGGATGCTGAACTTTTGCTCCATATAAAGCTTTCTGTTCTCGAGGACTTTTGATTCTAATATCTTCTTCTTGAAACCCTCCTTGAGCTCCATCTCAGGAAAACTCCATTCAATGTAACTTTTTTTTTTTCGAGACAGAGTTTTGTTCTTGTTGCCCAGGCTGGAGTGCAATGGTGTGATCTCAGCTCACTGCAACTTCCGCCTCCCAAGTTCAAGCGATTCTCGTGACTCAGCCTCCCAAATGGCTGGGATTACAGGCATGTGCCATCACACCTGGCTAATTTTGTGTTTTTAGCAGAGACAGAGTTTCGCCATGTTGGTCAGGCTGGTCTCAAACTCCCGACCTCAGGTGGATCTACCTGCCTCAGGCTCCGAAAATGCTGGGATTACAGGTGTGAGTCACTGTGCCCGGCCCAATTTAACTATTTTTGTGTATCAGTTATGAGCTTATGGGGAATATAAGCCTATTACACAAACTTCTTTTCCTGGATTCTTCACATAAAACTTAGCAGAAAAATGAAAGTAGAAATTCTTTATAAAGGATCCCACACAAAATTGTATAAGGTGTTTCTTCTCTGATAGTGTCTGCTGGATTTGTGTATATGTGAATGACTCAGGCTTGGTATGAGTTATGTGTAGTGTACAATAGAAGCTAACTGAGGGCAGTTTCCACAGAAGCCCATGGTTGTGGCAACTCAGAGAGCTTTGACACAGAGAACAATTGACAACAGGTAAGATAATATTTTCTAAAATAAAATTGCTTCTTAGCGATTCAGAAAGTAAGCAGGATATTCTCAAATCATCTTCCCCTGACACTAAGCAGATATTGTCTCTTTACAGTTTTTCCTGACTTATAATAAATTAGAAGATGTTATTTGTTTTTTGGCAAAGTATCATTGATTCAAGGAGGAAGAAAAGAACCCAAAGATCAAATACCAAAAGTCATTTGAAAGAGCCTCTTTCTAGTGCTTATAGAGATTATAGTATTCAATTCGTTTGACTTTAAACAACTATTTAGAGGCTAGAAAGCTTTATTTAATAAAATAATTACAATTAAAATATGTTTTAGTTTCATGGTATGCAGATTTGAATAAGAAACAAAGTGGAAGAAAAAAGTGAAGGAAAGAGAAGAGGAGAAGAAATCTGGAAGGAATGAGAAACAAAATAGGAAGGAAGAAAAGGTGAGAGACCCAGAGAGGAAGCAGGAGGAAGACAAAGGGAGAGGGAGGGGGACAAGCAGAGCTTTGCCAGGTATATGGCTCCCTTGGGTGGTGGTCTGCCAACGGTCATCATTCTTTTCTTTTTTTTTTTTTTTTGAGACAGAGGAGTTTTACTCTTGTTGTCCAGGCTGGAGGGCAGTGGCACGATCTCAGCTCACCGCAACCTCCGCCTCCTGGATTCAAGCGATTCTTCTGCCTCAGCCTCCTGAGTAGCTAAGTAGCTGGGATTATAGGCATGCATCACCACGTGCAGCTATTTTTGTATTATTATTATTTTTCTTAGTTGAGACAGGATTTCTCCATGTTGGTCAGGCTGGTCTTGAACTCCTGACCTCAGGTGATCCACCTGCCTCGGCCTCCCAAAGTGCTAGGATTACAGGTGTGAGCCACTGCGCCAGGCCTGCAGTCATAATTCTTAATGATTACCACTGATCTTCCTCAGCCTCTGTAATCCTGACATTTCTAAGGCCTAAATGTAAACAATTCTAAATGTTGACCTGAACACCAACTCCATTAAAAATAATTATCTGAACACAGTAGCAATGACCAGAGCAGTGGTTCTGAGAGCTGGATAAATCAAGTCAAGGGCCAGAGAGTTCTTCATCCCTGCCATGTCATTAAAGCTTCTGGTTGATGCAGATACTAATGACAGAACAGCTTTGGCTAAATACGCTAATCTGACCTGTGATGACTTAACTGCCGATATCCAAAATCATTGAATCATCTATCTCTTAATTTCATGAAAATTTACTTTTAGTTGATGCTTGTTATAAGCATGTTTCTTTTGTATTCCTCATTTTCCTTCTTCTTTTGTACTGATTTCCCCCTTGGTGTGTATTTTAAAGTTCTGAGAGTTAAGTGGAGCAAAAGGTGAGTGTTGTGATATTCTCATAACCATGAAAAGGCTTGAAAAACATGGAAAATGAATAATAATTGATTTAAAATGTAAATAACTAAGTCATATTTTTGCCCTTTCCTGTCAAGATAACTGATTTCCTGAATGTTTTTGTCTATACTATTCAAGACCCAAATGACTGCAGAAGTTTATTCATTTCTTTCTCTCTTTCTTTATGGATATAAAACACTGGAAAATTATTATTAGGTCTTACACTGGACCAGGTTGTCACTAGTTAAAGTCAATGAAAGAGAAGCAATTGGATATTCTGGCCCAGATGAGAAGTTGATTATTTTATTTAACTAACCCAGAAAAGATTACATTTAAATTCTAGATATTATCAACAATAATTCTGCAAACAAACTCCCCTTTTTACCCCAAACCATGTCAGGAACATCTTCATTGAGGTCCAGTCCCTTTATGGAATCTCATTAACTAACCACATGGGCTGTTCTGCTTTATCCAACAACATCAGCAATGGAGGCAGTTTCCTGCTACAGAGAGAAGCATCAGGCTCTGGAGGTAGTTCTTCCAATCACTTCAATGTCTTCCTTACCGTCTTTGTGCTTTGGTAGTAAAGAGGCATAATCATAATACCTATTTCTCATGGTTGTTGCTTTAAATGAGACTATATATATAAAACACTTAGGTACAAAAGTGTTTGCTAGAATATTTATTAATATTATCTTTTTGATTGGCCCAAAGTCTTTTCTCAGAAAGAGGCATCCCATTTCCCATTATCAGCAGCAAAAGAGTCTATCAGGTATAACTATTTCTCTGTTTAAAGGGTGACTTCAGGGCAGTCTTGGAGCCCAGTGGGCAAATCTCACAGAGTCTGTGTTTTCCTTTGTTAATTATTTATTCTTGTTTTTAGAACTACCATGCACCCTGTATGTGGAGAAAACATATTTAAAGAATTGAAGTAAAATAAAACATTCAACACTGAAACTGTAGTGAGCACATTGACTTCTGATGGCTCAGAAGCCATTTCAGGATTCTGTGGTCGCTTGTCCTCCCTACCCCCATGTGTGGTATAAGACTGAATCTCTCCAATAGTAATCTAATGAGATATCCCTGTGTGAATCCTGTGTGAACTGCTGTCCCTGACGTAAGTTGAGTGAAAAAAAGTTATAGAGTACATAGGATAAGATTAAATTTTTATGTAAAAATTACCACAGTTTTCTCTATATGTCTGTGCTATTTATTTCTGTTTCTGTCTCCATATATAATTCTATTTCCTTAAGTGTCTATGTGTCCATATCTATTCCTTTATTGTTTTATATACATAGGAAAAGAGTCTAGAGTGATACACAGTAAACTCTCTATGAGGTCCTGTGGCTGCCCCCTGGGAAAGCATGTGGAGGAGGCTCTTACTCAGGTGATAAATGAAGGTTCGGCAGATCTCTTGGGAAGAGAACACAGGACACAGCAACGGTTAAAAATTGGACTACTTTATTTTTAGGCTGTTTGTTGGTGGCTACAGGGCAAAATAGAGGGTGCTATAGCCACCTGTCCCCTAGGGAAGGAAGAAGGGATGGGCCTTGAGTTTAGAGAGAAGAGCATTTCTCTGATCATAGATGTTAGACAGGAAGCTGGAGAGGCTGGTGAAACTTGTCTCACCTTGTGGTATGGGGTGGGAGTGGGTCCAGATTGAAGAGTGCAGATGTTCCAATGCTCTGTCTCTATCTTCTAGGCCTGGCGGTCATGGAATGAAGGACATCTGATCTCTACCCTCCCTGCTGGGTATCCCATGTTGGAGCCAAGACCTGAGGAGAAGGCCCATGTGGCTATTGCTAGAACTCCTCTGGACCCAGCACTTCAGAAGCAGGACTGTGCTTCCAAACAATGACTTTGTGTGAATGTTAGCAAAGAGACTTGTCCTCCACGAAGCCAGTCTTCGACCCACCTGAGTCTACTAGCAGAATTGAGGACCCCACTCCCCACAGAAAAGGTGCTATTGATAAGCAGCATCAGTGAGTGACCCTCTGCTGTGACACACTGACCACCAGACCATGGGGCTGCCAGTGATACCAATCAAGAGCTAGAGAATGGGGGGCCCAAGATGGCTCTTGTTTTTCTCTTGTAAGACAAAAATGACCAGGACTGACCCTTTGGTCTCCATGAGTCCCTGACCTTCTTAGAATGCACAGTAGTGATCTGGAGTCATGAATTTGAATATTAGAAGGATTTTTTTGTTATGTACATAATGGGTTATATATACACACTCTTACTTTCACATATGTTCTAGAAAAGAAATCAAGTCAGTGATATCAATACATACAGTGAGTTCAAAAGAATGGGAGAAGAGAGAATTTAAACTTCCTTAAGGAAGATTTTACAGAGGTACTTTAGCAAGTACTCGAGGATTTTCCTCATTCAAATTTTCTCCCTCAAGTCAAACAAATTAGAATATTCTCAGCTGTTACCTGAACATTGTTGGAAAGTACAAAAGGTGTCTTGAATTACTTTAGTGACATTTTTCTGCTGGTTTGACAGAGACCAATATAAAGCTCACACCAGCCCAGAGACAAGCCACCTGTCTGAGTACCTTTAACATGATAATAACTTAATATTACTCTAAACACTGGAGGCCTCTCCTCTCACAGTTTGCCGTGCAGAACATCTAATTCTACCCATGAGGGGCCAACGCCAGTGAAAACGGAAAAGGGGTATTCACTACGCAGGGATCATAGGAAGAACTATAAGGATGGGCCGGGGAGTTGGGGGACAAATAGTGTTCAGCTCAGTTTTAGACCTGGCACAGTTTTCCCATACAAAACCTTTGCTCTTCAGACTTCTACCTCTTTAGTTCCCTGGCCTCATTTCTGCCCTGACAAGGTGTTCTATAAACACAGTCCATTAAAGAAAATTCTTAAAATATGTCCATGAATCCCCTTGGGTAAATGACTAAAGTTTTATACTTTCACAGTGACGACCTTGGTTATATTCCTGGAAAGTATACATCTAGTAAAACTCATCACTCTGTTCCACGGTACCAAATAGACATGGAAGATAAGTAAAAGCGGTTGGCTTGCTATTCAAGTGTGGCTTCCAGCCAAGCTACTGACTCTTAGCCACTCCTGTATAGACATTCTGGAGCTGCCACACTCATGCCTGATGGTGTGCACATGCTGAAGAAACACAGTTTGCATAACCCTGCACCAAAGTCTCTGGAGGCTGGAAAACAAACAGCAGTTGCATGACATTTCCACTGAGAAGCTGGTGAGATTCAAGATTTTCTTCTGCTCACAATAGCAATACAAAATTTTGCAAGTAATTGCAGGTTAGGGAATCTCTGAAACACATGTATGGAACCAAGGAAATCCACAGATGCCAAGCTAAGCCCCCATGTGTTAAGGGGAAAAGACCAAGGAAGAAACGGACACTGGGGTTTTTAAGTACCTCAGATGGGCCATGTGTAGAAATGACACATTCTTTTTAATTGTCTCTCCCTTCCTCTTCCCTTTCTTTTCCCCTCCCTTTTATTTCCTACCTTAAGAATAAATTCTATATTTTAGTCTTGTTTTTTGCCTGGATATAAGTCGTCGCTGTTGGGGCTTAAGTGTGACATTTTGAGACAAAAGACAGTGAATTCTGCTATAATGTGACAGACATGTTTCTAAAAATCACTGCACTATACAAAATCATAGACTCAAAAACCACATGCTTACAGGAAAATGAGATTGGGAGCACAGCACTCAAAACTTCATCAGTGACACTAAAAAAGAAGATAGCAACCTAATTTCAAAAGATAGCTGTTTTAGACATGTTAAATGGTTAAGAAATACATAAATACTAGAATAAATACATTGTTTTACCTAGAAAAAGACTTGAAGTTTGTTCATGGAGTTGGGTGTTGGGAGGGTTACAGTTTGTGAGTTACTGAGACGTAGTGAAGGAGAGTTCTCTGGGATGGAAAATCGTGATGCCAGATGTAGATGGGTGTGGCTCATTACACATGCGTGAACTGAGGATGCTGGTGACTGTTGAAGGTGTGAGGACATCTTATGTATTCCTACATGGCTCCGTTCAGTTGGATGCAGTTTTCTTTATTCATCTAGCATTTCTTGCAGATGAAATTAAACATAAGGAAACACAAAGTTCTTGTTATATTCAAATCGTTCCTTGATATATTATTCCCATTGGAATATATTATCATTTTCAAAACAAATCTTATAGCAGGAGTGACTGTATCCAGATTATAAAAATAATTATAATTTAAAGAGTAAGCAGCCCTTCAAACCCCAATGACATGATGCTGTAAAGGTAGCAATAACATTAATATTTCTGAGCAGTGAATAATTTACCTTGCCTAGTGATTCAAATACTTTTGGGCCTCCTTGCTCCCACCCTAAGGTTCATCTCCACACAGCAATGAATTCAAATGAAATGCAAATTGGGATCCATAACTTTGAACCATGCTGTCAATCCTGAGTGAAGTTTTCTCAGGGCTAGGAAGGAGTTGTTACAACACACACCGGACTTTCTGGAACATCCTCACTATGCATTTTTTATCCCTGAAGTCCACACCATGTGGCAGCTACACTAATCTTACTTCCCTCTCTTGTCCATACTTTATACCCTCTACCTGCACCTTCCCAAAGCCCAACAAAATTCCAACCTTTGCTGGATCTTTTTTTAATCACCCTTTCCTCTCTTTACCACATTTCCTACGTTTCCCCCTAAGATTAAGAATCCCGTACCTATGTATGTTACTTTTCTACTGCTGCTGTAACAAATTACCATAAACACTTCAAAGAGATGGGCATCTTTTCAAGTAAGGACAAAACAGCATACATTTATTACCTTACATTTCTGAAGGTCAGAAGTAATAACTCAAAATGAGCATTATGGGACTAAAGGTGTTGGCAGGGCTGCATTCTTTTCGAAGGCTCCGCAGAAGAATCTGTTTCTTACTTTTCCCAGACTCTAGAAGCCACCTGTATTCCTTGGCTTCTGGCCCCACATCACTCCACCTCCCACCTCTGACATCACAGCTCCTTCTTTTACTTTGACCCCCCATCTTCCTCTTATAAAGGCTCCTGTGATTGCATTGGGCCCACAGGTTAATTCAGGATAATCTTCGCATCTCAAAATCTTTATTTTATTCACATTGGCAAAGTCCCCTTTGTCATGTAAGGTAACATTTTCACAGGTTCCAGGGATTAGGGCATGGATATCTTTGGGGCATTAGTAAGTCTGTCACGCCAGGGATGATATCCAAAATGCTTAACAACTAATGTGCCACTTAAGGTAGAAATTCCAACTATCAGAAAGGCCTCTGGTCATAGTGCTGGAGCAAGACTCTGAAATCCCAGATGTACTGGTAGATGGATTATGGAGAGGGTTAGGATGTCTCAGGGAGTGACTGGGATGTCTAATACAGTGGTGAGGCACTCCAGGGCCAGAAGCAATGGTTCTCTTCAGGCAATACAAAAGACCTTTGGCTTTTTTCTTTTTTAAACCACCAGTACAACTACAACCACATAGTTTGGCTGAACACTGACCTGTCCATTCTGTTCCTTCTCTGATCAGTTTAGCTTCCCTATGCTTCTTTAAGTTTTCCCCTTCATTCTCATCCATGATCAGCATGCAAAGCTCCTGGGATGTTATCACGTGCTATTCTTAGCCCTTTTGGCTCATCTAATCTCATCACAACCTTATGATTAGATTCCGTACTTATCTTCCTTTTGCAATCACACACACAGGATCATAGGTGCTATTCATTGGTAGAACCTGGATTTGAACTCAAGCTTTAGAAAATGACCTCCTAACCACTGTAAGTGTGTTCAAGGAGATGCATATCTGTTCAGGTGGATAAGGAGTACGAAGACCATACAGGCAATGTAGAGGCACCAAGCGGCAACCCTTTGTCCACATGCATTCGTACGTTTGTGCAGAACCCTGTCCTATAGAATATAACTATTACATGGAGGAATTCTTGATCATATTGTATGAACTCATATCTACTATGTACGGCAAAATCTGTATACTCTTGAATAGATATTCTATAATAAAAAGATTAGTCAACTTCAGAGCAAATCAAGTCAAAACTCCAATTTTTCTTGGCTACGTAACAGTCTAGAATGAAATATGGTATTCTAAAGTACATAATGAAATAAATGAATGAATAAATAAAATCTATAGCCAAGAGTTTTATTTATAAGACCTAACTAACTATGGTACATGACTTTCTAGCTAGAATATTATATTCAACTTTCTCAAATGGGTTAGAGTCACAGAGACAAGAGAAGCAGAAGAAAGGATGATAAAACCATTTCTGGACTTTAGGTCTTTAATTAACCTCTACCCAGTCACAGATGCAGTTAGAAATATGTTGCTCACACCCAGAGGAAATAGTATCTAATAGAAATAAGTAATAGTATCTAACAGAAATAAGTAAATAAGTAACACCCTAAGAGAAAATGAATCATTTATGGGTACATTTTATTTTGCTGATTGGAAATATTTTTGGTTTGGACAAGAATGAGCATTAGCAAGTTCCACTAATTTAATTGATGCATTATATAGAAGAGATGGATATTAGATAATTTTTTAGATGATAGAGTGAGATCTTGTTTGAAAAGGACAGAATTTCTATAGAGTCCCTTAGAATCATTTATAATATTAATAAATCAGATTGTTAAGTAACATGTCAGAAGCCAAAATAAATGTTTAGTTAAAGATGTTTTGGTGAACAGTTGGAAGCAAATTCTATTTTAAACCCTTGAAACTTAACCTAAAATATTCTTGCTAATTTGGAAAATACCTCTTTATTTAAAATTTCCTAAAAGGTAGCCTCTCCTCCTACTTTTATAATGGAATACTGGATGATTTTAGTCAAAAGACATAGTTATTACCATAAGAAAAAGTCCTGCATGAAAGTACGTGTTGCCATTTTACTCATTATCAAAGTGCCCTTATGACTGTCAGAGAGAACAGGTAAGATGCCAGGGGAGGCTGAGAAAAAGAAATCAAAGTGTTTTTGTTTACTTTTTTGAAATCTTATAGTACCTATTGTTTATTATACATACTTTTTAATTCATGCTGAAAATTGGAATTCACCCATTCTCTCTTTTTCCTGTCAAAGATGCAGATGGGGCACATTTCGTTGACTCCATCAATCCCTGCCCCCACACATTAGCACACGCACACGTATACCTAGCCAGTGGAAAAGAAAAAAGAGTTACTCACATTCATCCATTTTACAAAGATTTCCAGGCTGCAATGGGAGGGCTTTACCTCTCCCTGAAGGATGAATAAATAGGTAGCTTAACTGACAACCTGTTCTCATTCAAGCTGAAGTGAAAACGAGACCAAGGTCTTGCTCTACTATTGATACTTATGAGATCCAGTCCTGGCAACATGGAGAGGATAGTCATCTGTCTGATGGTCATCTTCTTGGGTACATTGGTCCATAAATCAAGCTCTCAAGGTCAAGATCGCCACATGATTAGAATGCGTCAACTTATAGATATTGTTGATCAGCTGAAAAATTATGTGAATGACTTGGTAAGACCATATTTGTCACAACAAAATTTAAATCATACTTTTCAATTAATATAAAAGGAGGCTTTGACTTATAAAAATAACTCAGAATAACTTTTCTTTTGCTCTAGGACCCTGAATTTCTGCCAGCTCCAGAAGATGTAGAGGTAAGACCAGTTGAATTTATTTCTGAAAATACATTTGACATAAGTTTGTAAATCCAATAAGAAAGGCATTAGCACAATTATATAGGAGCATACTGAATTTTAATAAATTTAGCAGTCTAATAATTGATAAAATATTTATTTATATTTTGGTTATTCACTGATTTACCAAAAACCAGCTAATAAAATGTTATATTATATTTTTCATAAACTATGTTTATCTTCAAGAATCTCTAAGAGTACTCCTTAGTAGCACTGCTGAGACAGAATAACAAAACTAGAAATCTATACTCTAATTGGTTTCTGAACAATGCATAGCTAGTTACTTTTTAAGAGGCCTTGGGCAGAAAAGTTCTTAAGCCCTCTTTGTTATCCTACTTAAGAAACATAGATACATACCATAGGAAGCAGAATTAACCTTTTAATAACAAGCTAAAGAAAGAAAGAATTAGATTACAGGGACAGCATGGAGAAATGGTGGTGTGGAAATCAAAGCAAAGCCATCCTTTAGAATAGCATATACCTTGGCCTCAGTGAATCTTGTCTTTGGCCTTCCAAGAAGTCTTTTGAAAGAACCATTTTCAGCAATTCATCCCATCTCTTAAGCCATTTAAATCCATTAGAATTCCAGGAAGAATTGGCCTGGCATACAGTTCAAGAGTGCTGCCCGCTGATCTTTTTCTCCAGTAACTTCTGTGATCTGATCTTCTGGTCTGGTACCCTGAGAGTATAAATGCAATTGGGGAAATGTTTTCATTGTCACAGACCTTTAATTGCATAAATTAGAATAAGTATAAAAGTGCTACCAGTAATTGACTTCTTAAGTCTCCCCACTTAAGAAGATACATTGCAAAGAAAACACTTATCGTAAATGACTATGTGTACAAGTTTAGAAAGTGAATGAGTCACAACTATTGCTTTTCTTTAAAATTCACTCTCTAGCTCTGAACCTAACCACTCTCATTTACTGGTCCTTTTCTAATAAGCAGCAACTAAAATGAAAGTAGCACATTCAGCTTATTGAAAAGACTTTTCCAATAAGTGAAAATATTTCTTAATCAATGTGCCTAATTATGAAAACATACATTTCTAGCATCTCATGAACCTTGTTTAACTGTTATGGTTAGAGTCCTTTTCAGAGTTTCCTGGCTGTAGTCTATAACTTGCAAAATAAGAAATAGAAAAGATATTCCACTTTTAACCTGAGTTGAACCAATGGGTACTTCCTTTATATGTGTCGTTAATGAAAGATTTTTTTATCTTATATCATAAGGAGAGAATTTTGTCTCAGTGATACTATATTTACCCGATAATCTGATGAAGCAATTCTAGCTATGATGTAAGTGAGTAATAGTGTAACTTAGGTCTTTAAGTTATACTAGTAGGCAAACTCAGGAAGGAAGAAATAGTTCAAGGCCACGTTAGCATTGTATCAAGCTAGCATCAAAGCAGGGTCTGTAAGAGATTTAAAAAAATTAAAAAGTTTAATGAAAATAAAACCATCTAATGTTGCATGCATATAGTAATTTATCTAAGATCTCTAATTGGCCTAGCCAGGCAGATTTCTTTTTCTCTTTTTCTTTCTGTCTAATCATAAAACCACTGGTTGTCAACCGGTGGTAGTTTTTGTACCCCAGAAAACATTTGGCATTGGCTGGAAAAATTTCTGGTTATCACACTTGGAGGCAGAAATGGGGGTGCTACTGTTATCTAGTAGGTAGAAGCCAGGCACTAAACATTCTAGAATGCACAAGACATCCCTGACAACAAAGAATTATCTAGCCCTCAGTGTCAATAGTGTCACTGTTGAGAAACCCTGATATAAACCTAGTTTGTGTGTACGACAAAGGTAATCTTCTCCAGTTAGCAAGACTTCTTAGTAAGAATGGCCAGGGCTTTCTTTGCTAAAGAAAAAAAATATAAAAAATGGGTCTCAGGTGGATGAGGTGGCTCTTGCCTGTAATCTCAATGCCTGTAATCCCTTTGGGAAGCCAAGGTTGGAGGATTGTTTGAGGTCAGGAGTTTGAGACCAACCTGGGCAAAATAGTGAGACATCCTGTTTCTGCAAAAAAAAAAAAAAAAAAAAAAGCCTTAAGGAGGTAAAAATTTTCAAATATTCAGTTGCAAAACAACAAAGCCAGTGTGACTCCTTGCAAAGGCAGCATTTGACTTGTTCTTCAGCTGAAGAAAGGAATGGTTTGTTAATTCTTGCTTTGAGTTCACTACCACTCCTTCTAGTCTGCAAAACTAACGTAGGAGCAGAAAACTCCTCATGTTCTCATATATTAAAGTATGTGAGAAACAAAGCCTTTCCTTTGGAATCTGTTGTCACGAAGGCATAGCAAAGGAAAGCAATGGTTATGCTTCCAGATGGTGCTAAATATGGGACTGGGCATCCTGTAGACTCCTTTAGGGCACCCGAGGCTGCCTAAATCAAGGTTAATCTTTTCATTCTCCTTCTCAGTACACCCTTAAGGCAGTTTAGCAGTGACAGCCTCTCCACTTCTTTTCCTCTTTTGAGGCTAACTTTGATGTATATATAAAGCCAATTCCAATAGTTACTTATCTTGGACCACACATTGCTAGACACACCTCTGCTGCTTGCAGAACAAAAGAAAACAAAACACCATTCATTGTCTATTAACACAGGTAAACAGGAAGGGCGGGAGAGAAAGCACAGCCTAATCAATATGGGCGCCAGTGTCCAGGTGCCATTCAAAGGCTCTCAGAAAAAAATTTCAGTTGTTTTTACAACTGAAACTACAAATCGTAGTTGTACAATTTCAGTGCTTTGAATACTGGCACTGACCATTCCTGGCAATATTGTCTCAAGGGAGTTCATTTGGCAGGACCCCTCTACTTCTTTGGAACCTAATTTTCTTTCAGCATACACATGTAAATGTTAACTCAGCAAAATGAGCCGCTGTGAGAAATGCTGGTTTTTCAGATCATCACGGATGAAGCAGTCAGTATTTTCAGTTTCAGCTGGAAAATTTACCTCTTTAAATATGAATATTATTTTTTTCCAGTAAGTTAAGCCGGTTGTGGTCAAAAAGAAGAGAAAAGAAAAAACTTCAACAAACATGAACGTGTGGTTTTCAAGGAAAAAAAGTGCTATAATGAACATTTATAAATAGTTTCTATTAAATAAGCATTTTGGCAAACATATGGAAAGGACACCACCTTGCCCTTATGAGAGGCAATCTGCCCTGATATAAGGAAACCAGATAAGCTGGTTCTCAGCTTGTGGCTATATATGCAAAGTGAACCTGATAGGTTTGTATCTTAGAGATGCATGTTATTAATCAACATTCATATTGGGTAAGCATATGGGTTGGAAAATGCAAAGCAGGCCAGATGCTATGTTCAGCTGATTGTCCCTAAGAAGATTCAGGTAATATTGTTACATATAGGCCTGCCTTTGTAGGGACGGGGAGGGATTGAGGTTTCTGGTTATAAGGTAGTCGCTTCCATATGTATTGCTGAAATGAAAATATATCAACTTCAGGGGTAAAATAGCGTCATATACACAATTTATTTTTCTTTTTTGAGATGGAGTCTCACTCTGTTGCCCAGGCTGGAGTGCAGTGGTGCAATCTTGGCTCACTGCAACCTTTGCCTCCGAGTTCAAGTGATTTTCCTGCCTCAGCCTCCTGAGTAGCTGGGATTACAGGTGCCCACCACTGCGTCCAGCTAATTTTTGTATTTTTAGTAAAGACAGATTTCACCATTTTGCTCAGGCTGGTCTTGAACTCCTGACCTTGTGATCCACCTGCCTTGGCCTTCCAAAGTGTTAGGATTACAGGAGTGAGCCACCATGCCTGGCCACACATTTGCCAAAAGTAAAAAGTAAATTGGATACAAATAAATTGGATATGAGCTTTTCGATCAGCATTAACGTGTTTTCAACAAGTCAGCACATATTTGGTTCTTCCAGTAAATTCCACTTCCTTTCCAGTTTGATTGCTAGGATTTTGGCTTATTCGTTAGTCATTAGTTATTTTGCCAAACCAAGAGATAAGTGTTTGATGTTTATTTTGTCCACTCCTCCATTCTCTGAGACCCTACTCTTACCTTCTAAGAAATGACCTTCCCTCCCATTGGTTTGGCAAGCCTCAAACTGTTCCTCAACTGCTTGATTCAGGCAGAATCCTACCCTCACTGAGTTGAGAGTATGAAAAGGGTTTTAGAAAAGTCATGTGTGATCTATGGCAAGTGTATTAAATCTTAGATGTAAAACATGGCATCAGAGATAGGTATCTGCTTCTTTTCCCCAAAGGAGGGTCTTTAATTCATTTACTTCATGTTATGTTAACTTCACAAATATATATTGATCATTCACTGGCAACACACTATGCCTGGTGCTGTGCAGAATAAAATGCTGCTGAAGACATGGCATGATAGATACATTATAGAAACTGCAAACACATGAAAAATATTCTTCTTCAGACTACAATGTAATTTACTCAAAGCTGCCACTAGTCACAGTGTAAGTTTTACAGCCTCATAATTAAGCAAATGTGGTCCTAAACCGAACTAATGCTCCCTTATAAAACACAAAGGTCTTGTCCACCACCCAGACATCAAAATGGTCCTCTGCATAGCATCAGGACTAAAGCATTGTGAAGAAGTGAGGCTCCTTTCTTATCTGCGAGGCAGGGGATTATCCCTTTTTCCCATCCCAAAGAGTAAGTAGGAGGTGAAATCATTTGTCACTTGTCTGTTGAAACAAAGTAACACAAGACATTGCAGTAGAAACAGAAATACAGGATTGGCAAAATCATCTTTTACTTTCTGAATAATGTTTGTTAACATATATACAAATTATTTCTCTTTCAGACAAACTGTGAGTGGTCAGCTTTTTCATGTTTTCAGAAGGCCCAACTAAAGTCCGCAAATACAGGAGACAATGAAAGGATAATCAATGTATCAATTAAAAAGCTGAAGAGGAAACCACCTTCCACGAAAGTAGAGAGAAGACAGAAACACAGACTAGTAAGATTGTCATCTGTCATCTATCTTATTTGTACTTATAAACTATATCTCTTGCATTACATAAACACATACACACACACACACACACCTGTAACCAGAGCTGCTGGTGTCTTCCTTACTTATAGTTATGCCTTATTATACATGGTGCATTTTAAGAAGTAGAGTCACTCTTTTAAGTCCACAGACTTAAAGGTATTCAGAAACCCAATTATAATTTCCAAGTAGTCCTTGGCAGCTGGCATGCGTTAAAATAGCTTCTCAAGGTGATTAAGTCATTAGGCATAGAATCCAACTGTAATTCTGGAGTTAAGGAATATTTTTCCTCTCATATGGTCATGTATAACTTGTATTCTTATTAACAGGAGATAGATCCTAACTTTCTGACAAGAAAAGAGCCTACAAGAGACTAGGGCAAATCTTAAACTTTGCCTTCTCTCTTGAATCATATTACTATCCTGCACATTAGCAGAGTCAGTACTGAATTAAAATAGGCAGGCCTCATTACTTGGCTGAGAAATTTTAACAGTCCCTAGCTTTTCATGCTAACTCATCAGCAATGTGGATACTCAAGAACATGAGTAATTCAATGATTAATCAAACCCAGTGGGAAAACACATAAAATAAATTACTCTCAAATTTTTAAAACTAGTTCTCCTCCAAAGAATTCCACATGTGATTCAAATGAAATCTTAATAACATTATCAAAATGATTCTTATCTCCTTTGGTTGCTTGGCCAGGTGACCATGTGAAAAATATCCCTCTAAATCTTTCTTCAGAAAGAAAGGAGCTGAACATATTTTTGAAACTCATTAAGTGGCAGCTTTGGAGCTAAACTTAAAACTCTTTATCTTACAGATGAGGAAAATGAGATCTCCGAGTTAAGTGACTAGCTTCAAGTTCTATACATAGTGTCAGAATGAGAATTAGAACTTATTTATATCTACTACCTTTTAGTGAAATGCTCTTACTACAACATCACACTGGCATTGAGATGCTAACTACCAAGCAATGGCTTGGCATCTTGATAGGAATAAAGACAAAGAGCATAAACAAAGAAATTTCTAAAATTATGTAAACGAGTAATACATATATGAAAAACTGTTCAATCTCCCTAGTAATCACATAAATGCAAATTAAAACAAGGAAATCCTGTTTTCTCCAATTAAACATTTTAATAATACCCTATAATAAGAATGCTCCAAGTGAAAAGAGGTAAAACGTTTTACAATGTACATTGAAACCTTAAAATTTTGTAGCCCTTTAATTTAGTAATTCTAGGAATTTATCAAATAAGCAAAGACATATATAAAAAATGTTTATAGAGATGTTCTTTGGAGTAATGTAGACAAAAATAAAAAGTTAGATGTGGCTGGGCGTGGTGGCTCACGCCTGTAATCCCAGCACTTTGGGAGACCAAGACAGGTGGATCACTTGAGGTCAGTAATTAGAGACCAGCCGAGCCAACATGGTGAAACTCCATCTCTACTAAAAATAAAAAAATTAGCCAGGCATGGTGGTGCATGCCTGTAATTTCAGCTATTTGGGAGGCTGAGGCAGAAGAATTGCTTGAACCCAGGAGGTGGAGGTTGCAGTGAGTGGAGATCACATCACTGCACCCCAGCCTGGGTGACAGAGCAAGACTGTTTAAAAAAAAAAAAAGTTAGACACAACCTATGTGTCCAAAAATAGTAATAATTATTACATCCTATGTTGGAATACAGAGCATCCACTATATTTCATATTTTTGAAGACTATTTAACACTTAGAAAATGCCTGTGATATGTTAAATGTAAAAAATAAGCAAATCACCAATTGGTATAAATAATGTAATTACATAATAATTTAAAATACCCAAAACATGGAGATAATATACAGCAAAACATTGTAGTGGGATTCCTATCTCTGGGAATGGGATTACAAGAACTTTTTCCATTGTTACTTTCCAAACAGTTTTATGTATTTCTCAAATGTTTTTCAGTGAACATAATTTATGTTTTTAATGAGAAAATTTTTAAAGAAACATTTTACTAAGAAAAATATTTTAAAGAAGACTGTTACTTTTTCATCGATTTCTAGACATGCCCTTCGTGTGATTCTTATGAGAAAAAACCACCCAAAGAATTCCTAGAAAGATTCAAATCACTTCTCCAAAAGGTATCTACCTTAAATTTCATTTGATTTTCAAATTTATCTTTACCTATCCAGATTTGCTTCGTAGTTACTCATGGTATACTATTTCCACAGATGATACATCGACATCTCTCCTCTAGAACACATGGAAGTGAAGATTCCTGAGGATCTGACTTGCAGCTGGACACTATGTTACACACTCTAATACAGTAGTTAAACTTATTTCTTGGTATTCCACGTGAAGGAGTACAATATATTAGCAATGGGAAAAGACACTCTTAAGTGTGCAAAGTCAGGATTATTTCCCCATTATTACTATGCAATAGTCTGATTTTCTATGACATTGATTTCTATGACTTCTCAAGTTTTTACTTTATCTCACTGCCCAACTTTGACGTTTCTTAGTTAAGGAGAAGGCTAAAATTTTTAATCAAAAATACGGTTTTGACATATATTGATTTTATATTAACCTTGAGTTTGATTACCACCAGAATACGGTCTATTATGATCATAACTTAAAACGTATATACCTTCATTCAAGTTGAAAATATAGAAGCATAGAAGCAAAATATATAAAAGCAAAATGAAAAGGTAACATTTTTGTTCTTTTAAGGAAATGAAAACTGAGTGTTTAAAAACTTATATCTGAATAGTTTTTTTTTAATCGCATAATGTCTAACATATAAATATGTAATTTATTTATGCACCGGGGATACCAGATGGCTACAGAAGCCTTACTTCTTTATTGGGGTCTATCAAAATATTTAAATACTATAAATATGAATATATTTATGGAATAGACTGTTAGTCACTGGCAATAGAGTATTAAGAAGTTGATTTAATATTACCTTCCTCCAGCCCCCAGTCCCTTATAAGCTAACATTTTAAGCTTGTGGAAATGGTAATTTAAAGCTATAGAGGGACATATGTCAGGTTGTCTTCTGGAACTAAAGAGAGTTTTAAAAGTATTGTAGCTCTCTCCTAAAACTGTTAAAATGATCATAGTATGAGCTAGCTAATAACTTCAAATGTCTGTCTCCTTCTTTCTTTCTTCATTTCTTTTCTCCCTTCTTTTTAAAATGAAACTTCTGCTTTGACAGAATTTCAAAACATGTTTAGCATTTTGACACTTTTAGTTACCATCCTTTTGATAAGACAAATTCAATCACCTACGTAATTTTAAAATCAGGAGACAAATCAAGAGGCCACGACTCCTGTCCAAGCTGAAAACACTTTCGCATAAGCATTCCACTCTTTCAAACTCGGGTAGTAAGAACAGGCAACCTACTCTAGCTGCCATTTCGTATCAACGCCAGCACAGTTTGTTTAAACATGAAGTTAAAAACTCTAGAGAAATATAATTTTTGCTAGAATGGTATAAGCTATTTGAGAACCTCTTATTGTTAAAATAGTTGTGAGTGTGCAAGAGGATGTGGGATGAGAAATGCTTTATGCTCTGAGAAGAAAAATTATCTGCTTAAAACAAACACAGACTTTACTTACAGTTCTAAAAGATATATTGAGAATTATTTAATCAAATCTCAGTGAAATGTTTTATCATCAGCAAGTAGACTCAGAGAAAAGAAAAAAATGTTTTGTCATCAGAAACAAAGTCCTCTGTTTTAACATTTTAGAATGTGTATTATAAAGGAATTATCTGTCTGATGATGATAATATACTCTAAAATGTGCCTAAGTTTCAACTATGCCAGCCTGGGTTGTTGGGATAAAAGTTAGAAGCAGGTACAAAGATGGTGAGAAAGATGGAATCTATATTTCTTGTTTCTGAATTTATAGCTATTAACTTCTTTGACATTGTAGTTTAATATTTAAAATATATGTTTCTTTTGGCACGTTTATTGTTAAACATTTCTGTTCCAATTATTTTGATTAGAGTTTCTATCTTAAAAGTAAAAATAATTTAATGAGGGTTTGGCTAAGAGCCTTTATTAAACAAAGTTTAAACACCCAGATAAAGAGTCCCCCAACACCCCAGAAAAGCAATGCATTGAAATAAACAAGATGAAGCAGTGAGATTTCAACAGCTCCATCTTCACTGTTCTGTGTTCAAGACTTAGCCAATTATTGAAAGGTATATAAAGATAACCCATAAATATAACTGTTCACCTATGGACGGTAAGACAGGAGACCTGAAATTTTGTTGACTATGAAATTACAGTCACTTGTTTAAACTGTTTAGGTTTCCATTTCATTATCTATAGAATGAGAATCCTGGACTCAATCTCTAATGTCTTTTCTTCCTTTTTTAGAGCTTTAAATATCTATGAGTCTCCAAAGTTCTGGGTATTCTTACAGGAACATCTGATCATACTTCTAAGTAAAACTTTCTACTGTGTCTGATGTTCAGTTGCTCAATATTATTTCAATAACATTTGTAGCAATGCTCACTTCAGGAACAAGGGACATGCTCCAAGAAAAAAAAGGAAGGAAGGAAGGAAGGAAGGAAGGAAGGAAGGAAGGAAGGAAGGAAGGAAGGAAGGAAGGAAGGGAGAGAAGGAAATATTACTGTAGGTCATGAGAGTTCAGGGAAAATTAATCATGATCTTTATTATTTTAGTTCAAAGTCTCTTCTTGGGACACTTGTATAAAATGTAGCATTATTATTCTATATTATTGCTCTGTCTGTTGTATTTACATATGCATCTGAGAATTTAGCTAATATGAACTATATGGTCTATAACTTAATAATTATTTATTATATATTTGATTTTAAATGTTGATGTTTATGGCTTATTTAAGACTGGATCATATTAAATACTACCCACTCAGTACAACCGTCTTTTGTGATTCCCTGGAAACCCTTAACTCAATAGTCCTGACTGAAAATAAAAGATTATCCTTAGTCTCTGGGAGCATATAGTTTTTACCTGTACATGGTAAAGATGATATTTTCTTCTCACCTGTTCTCACTGAAATGGATACTGTCTCTGCCTCAAGGATATTACTCCTTTGTAGCTCCCAAATGTATGGCAAGTTTAGGAGGAGTTAGAGATATTCTTCCTAATGCCCACTGCCATGATTGCACCCACACCTCTTGCACAAATTATCTCCTGCATTCAAGTTCATCCTATCTAGCTTTTCTGTTCTCTTCTTACTGATTGTCATTTCCAGGCCACTCCTCCATCTTCATTGAGAACTGAGAATGTTCTTTCTCTCAAATCCAACTTCTGCCATCATCTGAGTGACTTCAGTGCCCACAAGAAGGACTCGATTAGCACTACAGCTTCTCAGAACCTTAACCTCCTCAGTTCTTAGCACCTGCATCTTTCTACCCCATCCTGTGGTCAACTGCCATGACTATGTCCCAGACTTTATCACCTGGGACCCCTTTTTCTCAGAAATCTTTACATGTATAAAACCATCAGTTCTTAGTCTTTTAGCTCTCAAACTGCCCTACTTCTACTTAGCCTGTCCTGAAACTCTGAAGCTAGGCCTTAACCCCTTCCCATTTTCTCAAATTACTAGTTTTCCTCCCTCCCTCACAGAGCCAGGGTCCCTGATCAGTCCCTTGAACTGCAGGCCACGCAGCACACACCATCCCCTGCCCTTTGCATTCTTCTTGAGTAGCTGCCTACATACATTCTAGCTGGCTATCTTATCCTCAGTGCCTAATCCAGCTTCAGACATTGGCTTCAGCCCCTCACCATTGAAGAACGTTTCAAACCCCGCTTCCTGGCATTCTGGAGTCAGTTTCCCACTTCACAGTCAGCTCTGAATATTCACTTGCTTTCAACATCTGCCACAGCTTTGGATAAGAGACCCCTCCTTCTACTCCAGTCTCTAGTTGGCCTGGGCACAGTCTCACCTGTGTGCAGGAGAGGAATTTTCAAATTCACAGTCAATCACATGGAAAGAACAGTCTATTCATGTGTCTACATACTCTCTCACCTCCTGTCTGCCAATCAAACCACTATAATCTGATTTGTACCCGTCTCACACCCTATCACTGTATCATTGAAATTGTCCTGTCTCTGGTCAATAATGACCTCCTAATAACCAATTCACAATGTTTCTATGTCCTTAGCTTACTTGATCTTATCATGGTTTTTGCTACTCTCAACCTCTCAACCTCTCCCTCCCTACCTCTCAATCACCCCCTCCCTTTTCCTTATGACTTTGGAGGCCCCTTTTTGTCTCGCTGAGGTCTTACTCTCTGACCATACATACTCAGTGTCAGTTGCTAATTTGCCTTCCCGTGTCCTCTTCTTAGAAGTTGATGTTTCTGAGGATTCTGTTTCTGGCCACCTTTTTTCACTCTAAGCCTTCCTTCTTGATAGTCAAATGTGCTCCTGTTCTTTTAAATACTCACTCTATGTTCTTTTAAATACTCACTCTATGCTGTTGACCTCTAAATCTATTGCTAAAGGTTAGACCTCTCTGCTAATTCCTAGGGACATATATCTAACTGCTCTCTGGAGATGTCCCCTTTATCTCCCAGGCTCTTCATCTCAACATGCCAAAATTGATCTCATCACTTCTCCTTTTCAAGAATTCCCTAAACTTAATTGAGGGAACTATATCCTTCTAGCCTTCCAGATGCTGCCTTCTCCTTTACTCATTATAACCATGATCACTGACTGGGCCTTGTCATTTCTATCTTTTAAATTCATTCTTTCTTTTTTGCTACCTCTGCCATCACCTTAATTCAGGATCTCAGCTCTTGTTGCAATGGTTGTAATACCTTTTAAATGGGTTTCTGTCCTCTCACCTACTCTCTCCAATCCACCTCCACATGGCCAGTGGAGTGATATTTTATAAAATGTGAGCCTGATCACAACTTTCCCTTATTTAAAATCTTTCACTAGCTCTCCTGTAGAACAAAGCTTAGGCCTGAAGCAGGGCACGTAAGACCTTTTTTCTTATGCTTCATTCAGCTCCCAGCTTCTCCACACCTTAGACTTCACATTCCAGTCAAACCAATCTGCTTCTAGTTCCCTAGACACACCATGTTGTTTCATTCCTCTGTACCTTTGGACTGGCAGTGACTCCTCTCTAGAATATTATTCCTCCATCCCCTTCTAATGCTTAGAAAACACTCAGGTTTGACCCAGCAATTCCATTACTGTATATATACCCAAAGGAATATAAATCATTCCACTGTAAAGACACATGCACACATATGTTTATTGCAGCACTATTTACAATAACAAAGTCGTGGAACCAACTCAAATGCCCAACAATGACAGACTGGATAGAGAAAATGTGGTACATATACACCATGGGAGAGTGTGCAGCCATAAAAAGAAATGAGATTATGTCCTTTGCAGGGACATAGATTAAGCTGGAAGCCATCATACCCAGCAAACTAACACAGGAACAGAAAACCAAACACCACATGTTCTCACTTAGAAGTGGGAGTTGAACATCGAGAATTCACGGACATAGGGAGGGGAACAACACACACCAGGGCCTGTTGAGGAGTTGGGGGTGAGTGGGGAGGAAACTTAGAGGATGGGTCAATAGGTGCAGCAAACCACCATGGCACACATATACTATGTAACAAAACTGCACGCTCTGCACATGTATCCTGGAACTTAAAGTAATATATATAACACTTGCAAAAAAAAAAGAGAAAACACTCAGATGCAATATTCAACTTAGTCATCATTCTTCTCAAAGGATTTCCATCACCATCTTACTGTATTTCTGTGACAGTGTTGACCCTTTCCCACTTTCAGAACTTGAACATACTTTGATTATTAGACTTAATATAGTATATGCAGATTTATTGATTTATATGTCTGTTTTTCTTTCCAGAGAAATTACTGTATATGAGGCAAGCACAGTGCCTCATACACAGTAAATAACATAGTAGAAAACAAACATTTGCAAAAATAAATTGAACTAAACACAAAACACATGATTTATTCACTGATGTCTTTCTTAACATCTCCCTCTTACCTGCTGAATCCAATTCTCACCAAAGGCAGCCAATTCTGTTTTCAAAATATCTCTAAAATCCATTCTCAGCACCTCCAGTTTCTACTTTTTTGGTGCCATCTTAGTCTCTCAGATGATCGTAATACCTTCTGTATTGCTCTGTTCTCATATTGCTATGAAGAAATGCCTGAGCCTGGGTAATTTGTAAGAAAAGAGGTTTAATTGCCCATTCTCCAGAGGCTGTGCAAGCATGGTAGCATCTGCTACTGGGAGGCTTCAGGGAGCTTTTACTTATGGTGGAAGACAAAGCCAAAGCAGGTATCTTCACATGGCTGGAGCAGGAGGAGGGGGGCAGGGGAAGGTACTACACACTTTTGAATGACCAGATCTTGTGAGAACCCTATCACTATACAGTAGCAAGGGGGGATGATGCTAAACCATTCACGAGAACTCTGCCCCCATGAACCAGTCGCCTCCCACCAGGCCCCACCCCCAACACTGGGAATTACAATGCAACATGAGATTTGGTGGAGACACAGATCCAAACCAGGTCACCTTCCAAAATAGTTTTCCTGCTTTTGTTCCTCACCAAAATCAATCTGCAACAAAACAACTTGAAGATTCCTTTAAAAACCCTTCAGAGTATGCCACCTCTCAGCTCAAAATCTTCCAACACTTCCCATATAATTTGGACAAAACCTGAGTCCTACAACAAGGGCTACTTGGTGGTATCTTTCCACCCCCAACCTCTCTAACCTGGTTTCCACTCTTTTTACTCGACTCTGGCCACACTGGGATTCTTTCTGTTCTCCAGCATTCCAGGAACACTTTCCTAAGGCATCTGCATGTTTTATTTCCTTGTTTGGATGCTCTCCTGCCCAATGTCCATGCGACCCATTCCCTTACCTCTTTCATGACTTTACTCAAATGTCATCTTCTCCACCAGGTCTTGCCTCACTACCATCCAACTAAATTGCCCAAACACCTCTGCTTTATTTTGCTTTATAGCACTTATTTTACCCCATAGCACCCTTGACACATATATTTTAACCATTTATGTGTTTAGAGTCTCTGTCCTCCAATAGAATGTAAGTTCCATGTGGGCAGGGATTTTTGTCTTTTTTTTTCACTGCTGTATATCTGGCCATTAGAACAATGTCTTGAACATCGAGTATTTGCAGAAAGAATTCCTGGGTTCTGCAGTGAATGTCTCTCACAGGGCTTTCCTTCCTAATGTACAGTTTGCCTTCTATTTATTATGCAATTTGTGTGCTACTGATTTTTTCACTTATAACTTCTCCCTATTCTCTAGCTTGTATCTTCTGCAAATATTCCCCCATTCTCTTATCAGATGTAACTACACCCCTTCTTTGTTTTAGAAACTGGCCTCAGCAGTATGAAACTTGAAAGATAAAAATGGAAATGTTCTTCCACTTATTAAAATTTTAGCAAAAATATTTTTCTAAAGAAAACTTCTGGGTTTATATTGTCTAGAATTCTTCTGGTAAATAAAATTTCTTGATGTTTTCCAATCATACAATTAACACTCTTCCATATTATATATATCTCCTTTATAAAAATAGAAAATTCAAAGCATGTATATATTGATTTATGAGTCTCTAAAGGAGTCTATTTCTACCTTCTCTTAAAATAAAAAATGGCAGAACAATTATATGATGGAATTGAACACAGCAATAAGTTTGGAGAGAGTATAAAGGGGTGCTTCTGGGGTCCTAGTAATGTTGTATTTCATAGAAGATGG